CAACTGACTTCGAATTAAGCCGCATTTTCCGCTAGAACACAATTTAAATACATCGCCTTGCCTCTGCGTAGAAATACGTATCTGTTTATAGTATAATATCTATGTACATAGAACTGTAGAAGTGTTCGTGCTTGTGCTTGCTTGTGTTTGTATGCATGTATTAGTTGTTAAACGATATTCTTGATGAGCGTGTCCCCACTTGGGTGTCATTCTTGCCTGTGCTCTCACGGTCAGGTTGCTCTCATGCATTGAAATATCAATTTGAAGCATTGAAGGGTGCGCTGCCTTCTGAGCATTTTCCATTATCAGAAGAGGATTTAACGCATTCGACCCCTGCTCAGCCAGTTTATCTCCACGGTATGTGTGTGTGTGTGTGTGTGTGTGTGTGTAAGTAAATATATACATATGTGTGAGTGTGTGTGTGGGCATGGCAAGTAAGAGTGGCCGACTGGGAGATACCATGTAGCCTATTATAAATTTCTACACATGCATACATAAACACACATACACACACACACACATATATACCAAGGCCTTCGCGTCGCAAGCTGACCTTCCTCGCCAATTGCAGTGACTTTCTTATATCCTAAACGGTAAAAAGGTTTTGTGCAAATTTTTATAGCGCAAACTGCGCATCAAGCGGGTTTGTGAGTGTGTGTGTGTGTGTGTATATATGTATGTGAATGTGTATTTTGTATACATATACAAGGGATGCTAGAATTAAGTAAAGCTGGCTGGGCGCTGTGCTCAGGGTATATCCTAGTCGAGCACCCCCGGACTGGAACAATTTTACTTGTTTCCCCCCTGCCCGACGCTTTTGAAAATGAATTTTCTGACTTATTTTTGTGTGTATTGACTGCAATGAATGATAGCATTATCCAAAGCTAAAATCGAAAATAATTTCATTTTATGTCCAGTTGAGGGAGGTAGTCGAAAATTTCCTACGAACATCTATGCTTGCATGTTCGTGTGTGTGTGTACACACACATACATATGTGTCTATGTATTTGTGTATGAATTGCAGCTTACGCCTGATAAGAAACTTTAATCGTTAATTAAAAGTTGCTTGAAAGCAAAACGCGGCTCGATAAGCGCACAAATTCTCGCTGCTCATACCTGACAGAAAAAATTACAGTTCGTAAGATTATCGCTTAAATATTATTGGTATAAGTCTGTGCATAGCGAATTTCTTGTATCTATCTCTATATATAAAGCGGTTTATCATGACTGACAGACTGACTGAGTGACTGACTAACCGACTCACTGATTGTTGATCAGCTTTAAGCTTTAATTTTAACTCTAGTATGGAGGACAAGGAGGCTCACGGCAAGACGAGCTTTCGGAAATTTCATCCGTAAATATTTAACAAGTAAGAGGTTCTAGGCGGGAGCTCCCGACTAGGGGATACCCTGAATCCTCTTCTTCCAACATCAAATGCATATATATATATTCCATTTTAGAAGCTATATGTCAAGTTTGGTGACTCTAGCTCTTATTATTTACCAAAATTGCCCAAAAAAACAGAATATCGATATCGATTTTTATCGATTGCTTGGAAACGGAGTAAGTTATCGATTATCGGATACAAACTCGATCTGCGCACGCACTAGGAGCACCTACATCTAAAATTTCAGTGAACCCATTAAAAATGGGTATAAGGGTATATTGTATTTGTGCGAAATCCAAATGTATGTAACAGGCAGAAGGAAGCATCTCCGACCCCATAAATTATATATATTCCTGAACAGCATCAATAGCCGAGTCGATCTAGCCATGTCCGTCTGTCTGTGCGTCTGGCCGTCCGTCCGTCCGTATGTATGAACGCAAGGATCTCAGAACCTATAAGAGCTAGAGACTAGTTCCGGCGCAGATCGAGTTTATTTCCGATAATCGATCACTTATTCCGTTTCCAAGCAATCGATAAAAATCGATATCAATATCCTGTTTTTTGGGCAATTTTGGTAAATAATAAGAGCTAGAGTCACCAAACTTGACATATAGCTTCTAAAATAGAATATATATGCATTTGACGTTGGAAGAAGAGGGTTCAGGGTATCCCCTAGTCGGGAGCTCCCGACTAGAACCTTTTACTTGTTTTTTTTTTGCTTAGTGTCAGATTGACTGCTCCATGTAAATTTAATTACATATTTTGGCTTCGAAGAAGTAAAGATATTTTCTTAAATAAGAAAAGAAACAACCCCTAGTCCACAGTGAGTTATGAATTTTAAGATATATTGTAACTTAAAGACTGATGATCTCTCATCTTGTTACTTCAATATTATTTCTAATCTAATCAATGCAATTTACGAAGCATTTATTTAACCTTTGTACTCACGATTGATTTTGCAGCTTAGGCAAAATTATTCGTTTAATAAAATTTATTTTCAATACTAGATCGATTTCTTTGTTAGCAAAGCAATAAAACTACGAAAGTAATTCGCATAGAAACAGACAGACAACTGTTGATGCGGATCATGAATATATATATACACATTTCATGACAAAATTATAATACCCTCTACAAAGTGAATATGAGTTTGAAGCTGCTCGGATAGTATAGTTTTAGGACTCACCGAAAAAAGTATCAAATAAATTCTCTAATAGATCTATGAAAATGAGTTTCAAACTGACATTAAAAAAATCGATGAATCCCATTTTCCACCGAGAAAACATGGTTTCTGCGAAAAGTGTGGAACACGTTTCAAATGGTTTTATTGTTATTGATCTTTGTAGGAATGTATTTATTCAAAAAGCCTGAAACACTCTTCAAAGAATTTTCGAACACTAACAGTCGGGGTGAACAGTTTTGTATATAGAGATTATTCTAGCAAGTATCCAAACGAAGGGATTTCTATTTATTTTAGCTATAACTTATTCAATTATTCAATTGTTGTTATCAATCTGTTCCTTAATCAATGAAACACGTCATTATGCGCGGCAAGCGCTAGGAACATGATATTAATAAATTATATTCTCGTTATATTTAATTATTTATAATCAAAATATCGGTAAGTAAGCAAAGCATATCTTAAAGATTTCAAAAACTACCGAGGCGTTAGTCCTTGAAACCTATTCACAAAATTACCAATTACCAAGGTTATTCTAGACCGCACATTAGTTATAGACTTGTGATAACCGTGGCCTACCTCTACTATCCGTAAACGTACTCTTACTAAGAGTAAAGCACGGTAAACGCAGACGTATAAAAACTTACAGAATAAGATGTCGAAATTCATAAGATTTTTTATAAAGCAGATATGATATCTAATCTGATCTCTTTAAGTCGGGAACTTCACGTATAATCGAGGTTTAATTGTATTTTTACCCAATGCGAAAACACGCTAAAATTATTATGGCTCAATTGTCGTTTAAAGCTTAAAAATATTGTTTTATTGTTATTAATTATTATATGTTATGTTAATCACAAATTAACAAATTTTAGTGTTTACGGTTTATTTAACGGCTTGGTTCTGAGCAACAGTAATGTTAATATGATTTTTATTTTTATTTGTATTTTTATTTTGTTATATTGTAATTTCATAAATGTAAGTTTGTATTCAACTGTCGAGAATAATAAAAGAAATTATGTGTGTGGATCTGTTTCATTCAGTGGGTAATGTACAGTATAAACACAGCCACACACACACATTTTGTGGCCCGTGTAAATGGCCTATATAATATCTATATATACTCACACATACACATGCCTTCATATATTATATATATTTTATCGTTCGATTTGATGAAAGTTTAACTTTGTTGTTTCTTGTGTTTTTCGAATTTATTTAATAAATTTACCATGACTTTAAAAATCGGCTCAGAATGAAAAATTTATAAGGCCATGAAAACCTTTATTCTAACTATTAAATTTTACTATCCGGCTGACCGAAAATGTTGTGCCTATTCCAGAACTTTCTTAAATTGGACACACAGAAGTACAGAAAATGAGAAACGCAGCTCAGAAACAGAATTAAGAAAGATTTTAATTTAAATTGATGTACAATTTTGTTTAAATCAAATGGCAAACAAATAGGAAAGGCAACCGGGGTAAAAAACTATTAATTTAACGACAATTCGGCTTCGACTTTTAGATTGTGGCTTCAATAAAACCAAAAAAAAAAAAACAAGTAAGAGTTTCTAGTCGGGAGCACCCGACTAGGGGATACCCTGAACCCTCTTCTTCCAACATCAAATGCATATATATTCTATTTAGAAGCTATATGTCAAGTTTGGTGACTCTAGCTCTTATTATTTACCAAAACGATAACGATTTTTATCGATTGCTTGGAAACGGAGTAAGTTATCGATTATCGGAAATAAACTCGATCTGCGCGGGAACTAGGAGCACCTACATCTAAAATCAAGTCTCTAGCTCTTATAGGTTTTGAGATCCTTGTGTTCATACATACGCCCAAGCGGACGGACGGACAGTCAGACGGACATGTCTAGATCGACTCGGCTATTGATGCTGATCAAGAATATATATACTTTATGGGGTCGGAGATGCTTCCTTCTGCCTGTTACATACATTTCAATTTCGCACAAATACAATATACCCTTAACCCATTTTTAATGGGTTCAGGGTATAAAAAGATGAGAAAAAAAAGAGGAGTTAGATAATTAAACTAATAATTGGTGAGATTAATGTTAATCTTGAAAATAAAAACTAACTTTTAGTAAGAAAGAGTTGGATTCTGTTTAGCTCAACCAGCTGACACATAAAACAGATAGACAGATACGCGGATGCAGGAGAACAAGCTAAATAATAACAAAGTATGTTGATAATGTGGTTAAATTTGCTTTGCCAATCAAAGTTGGAATAGGCATATTCTGAATATATGAAACCCTATCTGACATTCTGGCTACGCTACAGCACAGCTCTACGCTAATTGTCGCCTAAGAGTACTCGTAATAAGTATTTGGTAAAGACACTTGTTGTATGGTTGGAATTATTACTTAATGTTATTCGCATTTGTTAATGTTTAGGTATGCATTTAGTATTTTCTTCTCGCTGATTTAGGCACTTTGAAACTTTAATAAGAGATATATAGATATACATAAATAAATAAATACTCGTCCCCCACTTTAAAATTTTAAATACGCCAATATTACCCAAAGGTAACGTTTACATATAAAATTAATTTGATTTAATTCGAGGGCATTTGTTTGGAGTTCATTGGAATGAACCAGCAACCCTTAAGTATTTAGGAATGGCCCATTTAGAAAGTAGGGAGCTATTATCTTATGATTTCAAAGGACGGAAGATAGTTTAGCTTAGTAATTCCAGTCCACTTTATCATTGCTTTTCACAAAAGATACATTTTACGGCTGCAAAGAAAGGGGAAAATAAAATTAGTTTATCATTTGTTAATCTTTTATTGTTTACTCGCTTGCTTTATTTGCAAATAATAACTGAATGAATGCCAAACTTTAAGCTCGCTTCTATATGTTATGTAGAATGTCTGTCCACCTGCCCGTAGATTACAAATATATAAAATATACTTTTCGCAAAATATTATTCTAATAGATTACAAGGTGTAAGAAATTGATCTGTTTGCCTATAGTTTAATTTCCGTAATTCAATAGGTGGTAAAACATCCAAGCCCACAAACTCTAAAAAAAAAAATATCAATTCAATTTTAAATTTTCGAATACCAAATATATTTATATATTATTTTTTTTTGTTGTCCTTTCGTCATTACGAATAAGTTCAGTCACAATCTTCCCGAACAAATATCAAAGTGAAAGTTTTTCCTTTCAAACTTAGCAAAATTAATAAATTGATTATTTTATTTACTTTTATTATTTATTAATTATTTATAATAATTTATTTTTTTATACCCTGAACCCAATAAAAATGGGTATAAGGGTATATTGTATTTGTGCAAAATCCAAATGTATGTAACAGGCAGAAGGAAGCATCTCCGACCCCATAAAGTATATATATTCTTGATCAGCATCAATAGCCGAGTCGATCTAGGCATGTCCGTCTGTCTGTCCATCCGTCCGTATGTATGAACGCAAAGATCTAGAAAGCTTGAAATTTTAGATGTAGGTGCTCCTAGTGCCCGCGCAAATCGAGATCATTTCCGATAATCGATAATTTACTCCGTTTCCAAGCAATCGATAAAATTCGATATCGATATCTTGTTTTTTTTTTTGGTAAGTTTAGTAAATAATAAGAGCTAGAGTCACCAAACATGATATGGTGCTTCTAGACATTACATTACATATATGTCAAGTATCTTTCATTTTATACCTATCGCTTCCTCCCCGCTACCACCAAAGAGCAATAAATCAAGTTAATAACCCAACTTTTATTGCCAACCAATTTAAGCCTCAATTTAAATGCACTTGACTTTTTCAAAATACACAAATATTCTATGGTACAATAAGATATACTGTAGAATTTCATAAAGATCGGTTAAGAAAAAGCCAAAGTTATATGCAACTGCGCAATTGAATGGGGCAGCAGCTTTAAGAATTTCTGTATACGTGTACACACACGCATTCATGCGCGTCTGCTTCGCATTATAACAGCATAGTTATTGCGACTTTTTTGCTGTAATGCTATTTAACTTCCTTCTTTTATTTAATTAATGGTGTGGCTGCTGAGTAGAGTCGACAGCATGTACTGCTGACAGTTGCGAGTTCGAACCCCGTCAAGGGAACATTTTTTTTTTTAATTTATTTGTTAAGGGTATTCCCTAGTCGGGAGCTCCCGACTAGAACCTCTTACGAGTTATTAATATAATCATCGTGATTATTATCATTGTTATTATTATTATTATAATTATAATAATAATTATAATATTATCATTATAATTATCATTATCATTATAATTATAATTATTATTATCATTATCATTATCATTATCATTATCATTATCATTATCATTATCATTATCATTATCATTCCCATTATCATGAATCTTCACCCACTAAAACTTTGCGACTGTTTTTTCCGGTTGGTCCATTCAATGGGACCCATTTGTAATGGGTTCAGGATATGAAAATAATATTGGAAATGATTTTGCAACGCTTTAAATAAGCACAAATGAACAGTAATATAGATGCTGTAAATGATGATGACTTACATTAAGGACAGCCGCATTCATCAACGACCATCTTGGGCAAATCACGTTTAATGATACCGTCGTCGCCGTAGTATATGAGGGACATGCTTGAGAATTTAATTGGAGCACAACAGGGACGCATGCCATTCAGCAGGCCCATTTTGCGATATTCCTCAATAAAGTGCGCATGAAATGTTTGAAATGTGTCCGGCGTTCGAAACGGTCCAGTACACTCGCCTCGGCAATAATTGGCAAAATATCCCCTTGGCGCAATAATCCAATCGTCCCAGCCGAGTGCCTTAAACGACACGTAAAACGATTCCTTGCAGCATTGTCCACTCAACGCGCCGCCACAGTCGACCGCCCGTCTTCGAACCCGCCGCGGCCTGGTCGATTCGGTGTGGAGCACGAGAAATGGGCGGTTTGGATTCACGTGACCCGAGCCAGTCTTCATCTTTGTGTAGGCATTCGGTGCCGACCACGGAAAGAGATGCAGCGAGTATTGGCTACCGCAGCCAGTGCAGTCGATCAATAGACGCAGATTTTCAACGGCCGTGTCGCTGTACCATTCGCGAATCGTTTCGGTTAGGTCGAACTTTTGCCAACCCAAGTGATCGGTGTCCACTTCAAATGATGCCCGAAACAAAAAGGCCTGATCTATTGCCTGCCAATATATGAAGCAGAAATTTAGTTACCGATTACCACTTGATCGCAAGTAAATTACCTTTTCTGTTATATTTATGCCCTCGGTCATGCGAAATACCCAAATTTTGATCCTTTGGCGGGGTGCATTTGCGTGGTTTTTCCGTTTACCCTTCATTGTTGTCTGTTGTATTTGATGTTGGGTTTCGGCCCTTGCGTCCCATTCATTCGGCTGCTTTTCGATGCGAATGTGCATTTGCGCACTCCTTATGGATATCTTTTGGCTTGGAACACGCGACTTTTGAGGAGCAAACTCGAGTATACGGTACTGGCGATATTGTGTTCCTAAAAAGACGAGCGATCAGTTGATTTTATTAGAAGGAAAACCTAGAAAACCTTTTAAGAGTGCTTTAGTCGAATTAGGCTGTGGGGTTAGAGTATCTCCAAGTCGGGCACTCCCGACTATAGCACTGTATTGATTAATTACACTTAACTTAGATATTGATATTTAACGACTCTTCGGAAACCGGTGAACAAAAATTTTAAGTCTCTAGTTCTTATAGGTTCCGAGATTGACAAAGCTACATATATCTAATATATATACATAATGGGGTCGGACGCTGCGGCTGTAATAATTCTTTCCTTAGCCCCTTGTTATGGGATATTCAATCATCGGTTTTAATATCCCGATCTTTTTCAAGGCTTAATTATGACACACAAAGGCACAAGGCTCAAGCTTTAAAATTGATTTATTTTCCATTTTGGGGGGGGGGGGAATGGGATGAGGTATATGTATAGAATTTAGGTGTTTTTATTTGATTATTATTATTATCTAGTTATGATATATATATATATACATATGTATATATATACATATATGTATATATATACATATGTATATATATATATATATATATATATATATATATATATAAGGGCGGAGATTCTTCTGTCTGCCTTCAGTCTGTTACATAAATTTACACACGCATTATACCCTTTCTACCCTGTCAAAGGCTAAACACCAACTAGAGTACTTTTGGTTTTTTTCGTTTTGCATTTTTAATTGTTTACTCTGTCTGTTGCTCTTGTTTCACACCTAAGAACAATAGTGAAAGTACTTCACCGCACCTCAGTCTGCAATATCCACTCAGACGACAGCACATTACTTCCAAACGTCTGTCTGTGCGTGTGTGTGTGTGTGTGTGTGTGTGTGTGTGTGTGTGTGTGTGTATGTGTACAGGTAGTCTGGTCGGGGCCAGACAAAAACATACATACGTACATGCTCGTCTATATGTACGGGTCCCTGTATGGCTGTAGGAGATACTTAAGTGCGCCTATGCTTCTAGTTGAGGACTGACATATCAGTATTGTACTAACGGCAACATAAAGTTGTCTGTCTATGCAAACATACATATGTACAGGTGTCTGCCAGCGGCGGGCAGCTCTTTTTCAACCCACCACTCAGGGCCGTCATTGACTTGCTTGGTTTACGTATTATTTGTCTATCTATCCGTTCTCTGTAACGTTGTATGAACACACACACACATATTCACGTGTGTGTGCAAACTTACGTTACTAATGAAAACCCTGCAAAGAAAGCATACGTTTGGTATTGTTTTCTTGTTTTGCAGAACAATGTGACCACCCCCTCCCAATCGAGCAAGTAGACAGGCGCGGCACAGACGGGTCACTCTGGTTACATACAGAGCTTCGATTCAGGATTTTCAGTGGCCCATTGTCGCTTTGAAAAACGTAGCCGAATCTAAATTTAAGCACAATTTGACGCTCTTTTTTTTTTGCTTTAGTACTAATAATGAAAAGTAAACAAGATGTTCTAGTCGGGAGCTCCCGACTAGGGGATACCCTTAACCCTCTTCTTTCAACATCAAATGCATATATATATTCTATTTTAGAAGCTATATGTCAAGTTGGTGACTCTAGCTCTTATTATTTACCAAAATTGCCCAAAAAACAGTTTATCGAAATTGATTTTTATCGATTGCTTGGAAACGGAATAATTTATCGATTATCGGAAACAAACTCGATCTGCGCATGGACTAGGGGGACCTACAGCTAATGTCTAGCTCGTATAGGTTCTGAGATCCTTACGTTCATACATACGGACAGACGGACGGATATGGCTAGATCGACTCGGCTATTGGTGCTGATCAAGAATATATATACTTAACGGGGTCCGAGATGCTTCCTTTTGCCTGCTACATACATTTGCACAAATACTTTATACCATTTTTAACCATTTTCAATGGGTTCAGGGTATAAAAAGGTGAAAAAGCTTACATGGATCATGTGGGATTTTGGCAAAGAAGGGTGTGACCACATCAAAACTAATATTAAAATACCAACTGCATATTGAAAACTGACAATAGTTTTGTCCCTATTATCACTAACCACTAACCAAACAACATATAGACTGGACATCCCATACAAACAGCGTCGTCACAAAAAGTATCGTCCAAACTCGCGAGTAAGGGAGTAAGATATACATGTGATGTATTTTTGAATCGCTTACTCTACAGGAAAGTGCTTGGCGCACTCTCTTTCATATGATTTGTGCGATAGAACTTTTATCTCGCTCGCACTTACTCTCAGCTCTCAATGCTCTCTCTATGTTTAGGGATCGTTTCAATGTGTGTGTGTGTGTGTATTTGTCCGACGAGCAAAACTGCGCACAAATTCAATTTTTCTCAAATGCTGAGGCATTTCTACCCTTTTGAAGGCACAGCTAATATGAAATAGAGAAAGGGTTTGCCACGTCGATGCGAAATTGTTGCATTTTAGTTCGCTATCGTTGGTAAGGGTACCCAAGCGTTGCCATGTGTGCATTTAGAATATTTGGACTCGCTATTCACGCATACTTGCATACTTTGTATATGAATATAAGCATTTATGCGCTTGTGTGTCTGTTGCTTGCCTGCCTGCCTGTCCCCGATGCAAATTTAACAAGATTTTAGGATTTCTGATTTTGCACCTCTACACACAGACACACACATACAAATGTCTGTGAATGGGCAGATCATGGGCGCAAAAGAAATATCATTATTGGCACGCGTCTGACGCGCGCCCTTCTTTTTAATGATTTTGATGAAGCGGTTCAAAAATACATCATATGTATATCTTACTCCCTTACTCGCGAGTTTGGACCAGATGCCTTCGATACTTTTTGTGACAACGTTGTTTGTCCAGTCTATATGTTGTTTGGTTAGTGCTATTATATAACGGTTGCAAGCATGCTGATTATAGAAATGGAAGGTCCCGGAAATAGCTATGTAGACATCCCGTCGACTCTTGGGGTTTATGCTTCAATATAGAAATTCTGGTACTTACCCTCCTCGGCAAAAGTTATAATCTCTTGTGTACTGCCAAAGAAGTCTTCGCGCTCGAGACCGACGACATCGTGATCCTGCATGGGCATGGTTGTGTGTTGTGTCAAAGCCTCTTTCTTTTTGCCTCGAGCATTATGGAGCTGAAGTTTTGGTTTATGGTCTTTGGCATGGTTCTGGACGCTGTAACCATTAAAATAAATATTATCATTGCGCTCGAAACCACCACCGGTTATGTCGTTATTGTTATTGGTGCTATCACTATCACTACTACGATTTATATCAATAAGATATGTTGATTTTCTATAAGCATTTGACTTGGATTTCCTGTTAACACCATCCTCTTTCTCCTCTTTTCTGGCGACTCGCAAAGGTGAACTGTCCGCGGCCCGTGCCGGACCGTTTCCCGTGGTCCTTGTGCCCTTTGTTTGAATCGAATCGTTCCACTGCCACGTGGCTGTGTTTCTCCTTTCGGCTGTTCGATTTCTTAATAGATTTGCCTTCTGGCTGCTTTTGGTGTTCCTGCTAATCGCGTATGACACATTTTTACTGGCGGAATTGGGAGTATGGTAGTCATTGATCTCGGCCACGGTCTGGAGCCTGTCGCTGTCAAAGACATTGTTGGTAACCATTTGGCCGCCGTCTGCCCGATAAATCGTTTCCCAGATGAACTGTTTGGGTAGCGGATGGGATACATTTGGTTTATGGGTGAGTCCAAGTTTCGTTAGAATTTGTCGCTTTATCGACTCCAAACGAACCCGGTCGCTGAGCCCAATATTGTTATGGTTACGATTAGTTTTCTTATAGATGTAATTGTTGTTGTTGTGGTTATTGTACTTGTCATTGTTGTTGTTGTTGTTGTTGTTGTTGTAGTCTGTGTGTGGGTTATCTGTGTAAATGTGGACAATTGTAAAGTGTTTTGTAAGTATCAAAGTTGTTTGGATTCGTGTTGTAAATTTTGTGTACAGATAAGAGATGGGCGCGTGCCTACTTTTCGGTTTTGGCGCAAAGCGTGCACTTGAAAATAAGCCGAGGTCTGCACTGACAATATTTTTTAAATTCCCGGCCTGGCAAAAAAACATATAAAACATACTTAATTTTTATATATATTTTTTGTACACTCTGCAAAACCTTCTCGAAGGAGTTTTTTGTTAATAATTTGACACGATAGTTGAAGATTGGCTGGTATATTCAGATGTCGTGCCTTAAGGAAGAACGGCCCGTGCCCATCTCTATTGCGAATACAGTGTTGTGTATTGTGCTTATTTTAAATGCATACATCCGACTTTAAACATACTGCGCAATTAGTTTGACTTCATATTGACAGAAGAAAGTCAGTAACGTACCTGGAGATTCTTATAAAAAGGTATGGATGCTTTATGCTAAATGTAACGTTCAGACGGACTGTTCAGGGCTTTTCAGCTTTCTCTCGTGTACCCTACTTACAAATCTTTACTGACCTATTAATTAAACAAACTATGGATAATGTACGAAATGGTAGAAAAAATATAACTGCAGAAATTATATTTTCTTCATTAAGGGTCCCCACAAAGGTTAAAGGATAGTTTTTTTGATAGTGCTTTTATATTTTAATAAAGTTAATTAATATTATTATGAATTAGACCTGAGAATTCTTTATCTCGACTATTTTTTGCATTTTAGCTACATATGTTCATATTCTTATGAAGTCATTGACAAAATTTGCTATGAATAGGGGCGTAGCTGGGCACACTCGTTCTATAGCCCATTGATAAATAAAGAAAAATAAAAACATTCAGGTTTTAATAAGGCCAATTTATTGAAATATGGAATTCGATTTGTAGCATGTAAATACGATGGGATTTAAAATGGGAGACTCACGCTTATCGCTGTAAAAGTTGCCCTCCTCAAGTTGGCACAAAGTGCAGCCCTTCTGTGTGACCAGACTTGAAACATATCCGCCGCTGCTCGCAATCGCATTGCAATTGATCAGCTTAACCTCAAGCCAAAACAGACAAATAAGCAGCCACACTAGATTCGCACGGTTGCGTTTGGCTTTAGAGAAATGGCGCATTGTGCCGTAATTGCCTCCCGATGGCCATGACGAAACGAAAGTCTTTAAAGACGACGTCGAATTGCGCGTACGTATTTTTGCTGTTGCCAGTATTTTAGCGCTGTCTCCTTCTCGTTCTCTCAATACTTCCAGACTTGGCAGAAATATGCTGCTATCCTGATATTGCTGCTGCTTGCTGCTGCCCGTCTGCTGTCTGCTCCCGTTGTTGTTGCTGTTGTTGTGCCTGCGCCGTCGTCGACGGCGACGCCGACGTCGTCTTCGCTGCCTCTTGCGATTATTGCAAAACATTTTGCACAGGTTGTTCGTCTTCAGCTGCTGGTCATTTGCGATGTCATAGGAAGCATGACCGTGCCCATACTGTTCCTTCAATTTACTCTCTCCATTGATGGTCGGCGCGCTGTTAGGCGCTGGCATGGAGCTGGGCGCAGCTATTTGGTGGCCCATCTTATACAGCGTTATGTATCTGGTCATCAGCGCCAGGAGCGCAACCATCCATTGACGAGCAAGTGTGACGAGCACGCCGAGCACCATTATGGCCGCCACCCGGATGCAGGCATTGGCCTTGATCAGCGGCGTCGACGCACAGAGGCTGCCGCTGCTGCTGCCGCTGCTGCTGCTGCTGCATGTTGTGCAGCATATCAGGCTAAGGTTAGTGCAGCTGCAGCAGCATACTAGAACGCAGCAGCCCTGTCGGCAGCAGAAGCATGGGCAATTGTAGATGCATTTTATATCCTTGGCCCCTGTTGCTGCTGCTGATACAATCGGCTCCTGTTGCTCAAATTCGAGTCTCATTGTCATTTTTGCAGCGCCTACTCCATGATAATGCATATTACGGCATCCACTTTCTCAATGGAAAAATCCGTTTACTGCATTGAATAAAGAAATACCAGAATAAATTATAATTATATTTATAAGCGACATGTATCTTTGTATTGGGCTGCTCAACCTGATTCTGATCGATCGCGCCAAAATCAATTTGTTTCTTCAACACGGAATGTTTGAATTGCAGAAGCAAAAAACAGTCGGTCGAACGAATCAGGTTCGCTTCAAACTCGACACAAGTTGCGTCACCGTTTAGCTTGAACATGCTGCAGATTCGAAAATGTCGCACTTCAATTGTATAATTGTCTGCGGAATTGGCTAAATCGTTTATTCTAACATTCCTCATCTCAATAATCGGAAGCTCGAGTCTGTCGGTAACCGGTTAAATCAATTTGATTAAGGTCGTATGTTTCACATTGTTTTTATTATTGTTAAGAAATAGAGTTGAGTTGTTAAGTAAAATATATTCTTAATCTTGAATGCCATAGCATTGCCTTAAAATTGTTTTGACAAATTACATTATCAAAAAACAGACCAACGTTTAAAATGTTATATTCATAGCTCTTATAGGTAAATACGGACGGGAGGAGAGACAAACAGACGGAGATTGTTATATGGACTCGACTATTAATGCTGGCGAAGGATATGCGTACTTTATGCGTACTCTATGGATTGATGGGTATTCAAAATAAATTGTCTTCTGCCAGTTTTAAACACCTAATAACTTCATTTAAAATTGAAAACATTCAAAAAAAAATATTTTTAATTAGATGAGAAACTTTTATCCAACGAGAAACCAGTGGCAATTTATGATGAAAATCAAGAGGATGAAGAAGCCGAAAGCGTGGTAAAGAAACCAAAATGTAATCCTGATCTACCCAAAAATGCAATAAATGCTGTTGTAATGGAGATTTTTGACCCAAATGCAATGTAAACATATTTAAGGGGATTTTTCAGCAAAAGCTTAACGGCCATTATTCGAAAACCCAAAAAAAAATTTTTTGGTTTTTGTGAGCTTGGAAACAATTGTGATTTTGTTTCTCCAGCCAAATAAAAATAATTCTGCGAGCCCAAGAGGGGTTAACTACCTCTGTACTCAATCGTTACAATATTTCTCGCTTACTTCGTCCTTCACGCTGCGGCATGCTTCTTTCCTCAGTCGTTTCTTTTGATTTACTTCGGTATTTGTTGTCCGAGCTTTGCAAAAATTCTCCAATAAATGTTAATTTATGGATGTACCCAAAATGTGAAATTTGCTGTACCCCTCAGTCAAATTGTGTTCGGATTACAAAGGCCCCACACAGGTACTTATAGATGCACTTATATGGAATAACCTATATGTTAGTTTTTAAGGGTAAAAATATGGCATTCAATAATGAGGTAGTTGCTAAGTTTTGGGAGAAGTGGAGAAGGCATCCAAAAAGTGAAATATATTTCATATAAGTATGCTGCATACTAAATTTGATGCAAATATATTTCATAGTTATTGAGTTAAGCTTAAAAATTTCTGATGATTGAGCAGGATAATTTCCCTGTTAAAAGTGAACTTATTTTTATAGTTAAATAAACACCCTTTTCCATTACTCTTTTGAAGGAACAAGTTACTAGCACGAGCACCCCTTCAAGTCAAAGACGTTAAGGTAAGGACTTCTATTTACACTCTATTTTGAATGCCGCCAATCTCTGCAATTGGTTGATATTCGACACTCTCCCCCTATGCTCAGCCTCACGTACCGTTATGGGGTGAAGTGCTTGCCTAGAATAGCGGGTTCTTGTAATAAAGTAATTGCTAAATGCTAAAACCAAGCATAACGAGCACGTTAATGTAAATAATAATAAAAAATAATCAAATTAAAATTTATTAGTAATATTAAAATAAGTGGATCAAAAATATAAAATGATGAAATATTGGACAAAACTGACAATAAAATGAGATAAACTAAATTGCCAATACTTTTCTCCGTGACTGTATGTGTATGTACTTGTGTATTTTTATAAGTACACGAACAAACATACGCACATACACACATATGCACATACATACGTATAGATTATGTTCATATAGTAGAAACCATTTGTAACGACTGACAGACAAAAGGATGCGACGAGACGACGCCAACAGCGACCAATATAAAAGCCAGATGGGGCTGTGGGTTATGGAAAGACACAGCGAGGAGGTCCACAGCCAAAGCGGCAATCAAATGAATTGGAGAGTTTCTATGCTTTAAGCTATGATGACACAATCTATTTGGCTGACAATTTTTCAAGTTTTTCAATAGAGAACTATTTAAATTTGCAGTATAAGAGTTGCCGCTTGTATTTAATTATATTTTTATTTCCTCTACTAGTTTTCTTCATTTAAACATTTCGCAAACACACATGAAAATTGCGGGAAATATTTAATTTTACAACCCAGCCTAACGATTAACAATCTATGTATGTATGTACGTATGCATGTACATATGTCATGCATGCACGAGTAAGTCTTACATTTACAGTTAGTTAGTGGCAGATAAACTAATATTGGAGCTTTAATAGTTGCGCCAAGCTAGTATTAGACAATCGTGTAATAGCGACTAATATTATGATTAGTTAAATCCAAAAACCCTAAAAGTTCTTTATTTACGAATATGTCTACATACATATGTACATACTTATTCAGACTCACTCACCCAGGCACACACACACACACACACACACACACACAGTGCTTAAGCATTGGAGACACTTCGTCTGGGGCACATTTATTGGAGATGGAGTGAAATTCGATTGTCAGCCAAAACTGGCAAATTCGCCAAGCTCACATACATGTATACATTCAAATACATAGTTGTGTATTTGTGTGTTAAAAAATACATAAGAGAATGTGCATGTGTATCTACACATATGAATACATACATATCCATGTTGTGTGTTCTCTCCTTCATATGCATGTACATATTTACTTCATTTAATTGTGCTTCGTAGGTTTTCTAAGTCTTTTAACTCATTAGTGTTATTTATTTAATGTATTATGATCTATATGTAATAAGAATTTCGATTTCTTTTTAATGTGCTATAATAATATATAATATATATATATATATATATATATATATAATAATATATATACATATATATAAAAGTATATATAAAGTATATATATATTATAATTTGTAGTGTTAAATATATTATATATTTTGGATATTTTTTCTGTTTTGTTACTTGAACCGATCGAAGCCGTTTACTTTAACACAATAAGCACACTTTTAATTTTTTATTAAATTCATAAAATAAAATGGCGAATTTATTTGATTTATGTTAATTGGCACTTTAAAAAACGTTAGCTTTTTATCTGGCACCAAATCGTGACATGACAGTTGCCGAGCAAGCTGCTTTGCGAAATAAAAATAACGTTTATTCCGCTCGGTGTTAACGGACTAAATGAAAATTGAAAAACAACAAAACACGCTTACGAGTGAAAAGGCAATAGTATTTCATCAGCTGGTACAGTGTTCACTCGATATGAATACTCCATAACTTTTACTTTAAGCAAGCAATAAGAATATTTGTTTTGAAGCTACTATTTTTTGATTGGAAATCTAATTTGAATGTTTTTTAAATATCATTTGAAGCTTAATAATTGCAAAATGTAATATTTACATACATATATATATATATTTGATATTTTCTGTGTTTAATAAATCCATTCTACTCGCCAATTATTTATGTCAACGTGTGTATCAGAATACACCAATACCAATTTATTAAATAAAGTTTGTTTTTTACAGCGGTTTTTTACAGCGAGCTATGCCTGTGTATAAAATGTACTCTTTCAGGTTAACGGAAAACGAGTCGAACGAAATTACATTGGCCACTTATCAGCTGGTCGCATATATTAAGGGCAAGTGCTACTCGACAAGAGCTCACTGCTATGAATCTACGAAAACTCTAGCCAGTATACAAAAACTGACAAAGAATAGAGCTTCAAAGAATATGATTCATTAAAATTGTCTATGATATACAAAAACCGAAAGCACATATTGTTTTGATTTTACTTTCCTTGAGGTTTTTTTAGGTTAGCAAACATATTTTGTATACTTAAAATGTGTCAACGCTGAGAATATATAGAATGTCTACATATTAATATATCTATATATCCATGGTTTTGGCAGGTATCTTATTGCTACTCAATTCAAACTTTGTTGTTATCCATTTTATTTATTAAGGCCACACTGTTCATCAGGGAAATTGCATAATCAAATGCATACTCTGTTGTGCAGCCCTGGTTATATCGATATAAACCACATACGATAATTTGACTTTGTTCGTGACCCTTTTGCTATGTGCTTTAAATAATTTAAATTCGTACTTTATGTTGTTCTCGCACACAGGAATGTCAGCAAGTGCTGCGATGATTGCAAGTCACAGATTTCGGTCAATTAATATAGTCCAAATATTGACGTTGTGGGCTTCGGCCCTCGTAGCAGGAAAATTCCCAGATGATAGACATACTTGGCCACAGCCAATCGAAGATGGCGACCCCAACTAATAGAATGTGTGCAATCGCAGTAATGCTGAGAAGATTAACATAACGCTATCGCCATTCGGAATGTTTGTTATTTCATCAAAGCGCTGCAATCAATCCGTCTACAGGGAAAATGTCTCAAATGCTGATCCCCCGCACAATGCTGCAGTTGTTCGATTTGTTCGGAGAACGGGTATAAAAATCTGGGACGCAGCTAAGAATGAACGAAAAACCGAAAAAAAAATATTACAATTTAGTTACGTTATAACATCGTAAGGTAGCGTAAGGTCTCGACCTCTTGAAGTTTTAGAAGCTGACAATTGAAGATTTCTTCGCAGAAGATGATATTTATACCGTCAAAAAACATTCTTTGGATTTGGCGGTAGTTCCTATTAGAGATGAGCGATATTTACTTAAACACTTTGAAGTATTAATTTAATACCAAAATTATTCATCACTGATTCCAGGCAGTGATTCAGTTCACGTAGGAACTAGCAGTTCGATAGACTTTATAAATGGACTATATAAGATTACAATTAATTTATTTTCTCGAAATCTGTACCGTCCATTTACTTAAATTAGTGCCTAAAGCTTCATAAAATATGTATCTACAAGAGGGTGTAGCGTGCACTGAGGACCATTGTCTCTGAGTTAAGAAATAAGGGCTAGAAAACAAGGTTGATTTATGCTGTCATTTTATATGGGGCTGACATGGGGGTTGTTGACTTATTTCCCAAATATCTTAAAAATGGTACCAACGATTTTAATCAAATTTTCACAGTTGGCTAGGTGAAACTATAGTCTTTAATCGTGCATATGCGGTTTTCGGGGCCATTTTCCCTAAATTAAGATATTTAAGGAATGGTGGAAACCTAATCTTTCAACCGCTCGGTTTACCCATATTAAAAAATAAAATTCAAAAACAAATGAATGTAGACAGTAAATAATTTAATTGTTTGGATTTCTGCATTTAAAATTGATTAGGGTCTGTGCTTAAAAACATAAGTAAATACATTTAAGAGTGACCAACTCCTTTTCCGATACCAAATGCCAAAAATCGACGCTAAGTCACCGCCGCTAATATGACACACATGCGATTGCCGAGTGTAATCACTAACCACGATACTAATTAACGATGAATTTCCGATTTTTATTAACACGAACTGGCGCTTATCGACGACATATCATCACAATTATCAAATTTTGATTTGGCGCCAATTGTTTTTATATTGCATGCAATATATTGCT